GCCAACTCCTTGGAGGGATGAGGCGGTCAGGAAAGGATGGGCCATGGGGGCCCAGCCATCTGTGTCCACAGGCCCCATTCCCCAAAGACCACAGTTCAGTGTCACCCAGGCCACAGCCACAGGAGAAAAGGGCAGTGACCAGGCCAGTGCCCTGCGGACCCACAGGCAGTCCAGTCCAGCAGACCTGAGTACCAATGCAGTGGAGGGGCCCCAGGATGGACAGGGACACTGTGGTCTGGTGACAGGCAGCCGGGGACAGGCAGCCAGGCGTCTGCCAGCTGCAGGTTCAAGCTGGAACGTCAATGCCATGACCAACCCGCCAGTTGCGGTGACGTACAGTGCCTGCCCACAGGCAATGCTTTATGGGGGCAGGGCTGATTGGCATTGGGACCTTACAAGGTGGCTCCTCGTTGGCTGTGTCCCCAGGGCTGAGGAATGGCTGGGCAGACAGAGGAAGTGACCAGAGTCACCTAGGGTCTCAGTAAGCACAAGAGCCCTCCCAGCTCCATGTGCAGAGCACCATCATCTGGGACAGGACAGGTCTTCAGTGGAGCCCGGTGGGCATCACCTGCTGGCAGGAGGGCTGACAGGAGGTTGGCCAAGCCAGATTTACTGTTCTGGGGTACAGCAGTGGAGACGGGGCCCTGGCACGGGACAGAGGCAGCTGAGCACACCCCTTTCTTGGTGCCCCGGGAGGTCCACCTGCATGCTATGGCGCCCCCCTCAAGTCTGTGCCACCCGGAGCTGGGGACAGGATCCTCTGCCCGCCGTGCCGCCTGTGGGGTACAGTGGGGCTGGGGCCTCAGGAGGATTTCCTGGAGGTGGCAGAGGCCCCCTTCTTCTTGGCTGGGGCCCGCAGCAGTGCCAGCCTCTTGGGCAGACTGGAGCTCGCTTTCATCACCACGTCGTGTTCGATCTTCTTCCGAATCCCAACCTCCAGGTCCTGAGGAAGCAACCAGAGAAACCCGAGGTGGGGAAGCCGGGCTGCCGCTCTCCCACCCAGAGCCCTCAGAGCTGGGTCAGCAGGTCTCCCCTCACCTGGTGCCAGCCTGGGAGTCTGGACGGAAGTCTCACCCACCCACTTTGGGGCCTAAATGCACAACTTTCTCATGTCTGTACCTCTGTTCATGTCCACTTTATAGATGGGGAAACTGAGGCTATGTAGCAAGGAGGTCCTTGCCCAGGATCCCCAAGCCACATGGGTGCCCAAAGCCTCTGACCTCAGATGACCCTCCTATCCCATGTCATCTCTGCTTTGCTGAAGGTGACTGCGGCTCTGAATGGGGACATGAACCAGTCTGGCTGAATCACCACCCTCAAACTGCACCTTCCCTACCTACATAAGTTCCAACACCATGACCACTACTACCAGGGAGGGTGGCTGACCGCATGCTCAGGTACAGGGGACATAAGAGTGAACAAGATATGGAAAAATCCCTGCCCATGTGGAGCCAATATTCAATGCAAACGTGTGGAAGAAATTAGTCTCAGTGATAGTTTCAGTGATTAGTCTCAGCATTAGACTTTTAAATGCTACTAAGTGCTGCTGTGCAGAATCAGAGATGATGGGGAGGTGACGCTGCCATCAGGGAAGATGTCACTAAAGCCACCTGCAGAAGGGAAGGGAGCCATGCAGATTCCCAGGGAAAGAGTCCAGGCAGGGAAAGCAGCCAGAGTGAAGTTCCAAAGTGGACAAGGAGTCACTAAGGGACTCTCCAGAGGGAGGGAGGGGGAAGAGGGGAGGAGAGATGGGCAGGGCCCTTCTGGCTGAGGTGAGGACCTGGGCTTTTCCTGAGTGCGAAGGGGGTTCTGGGCAGAGCAGGGACAGGCTCCCTAGGGCTGCTGTGGTGGCTGTGGGGAAAGGGTGGAAGCCAGGAGACCTGGCAGGGGGGTGACCACGAAGTCCAGTTGGGAGGTGACATGCATGGGAAGTGGGTGGATTCCAGACCAATTCTAAAGGGATGGAGAGAAGCAGGAATTCAAGGATGTTGTGAGGTAAGACTCCAGGACCATGGGTGGGGAGGAGGGGGGACGGGAAAGATGTATCAGGAGCTCTTTTGGACACAGGGAGTCTGGGATGTACTTGAGACTCCTACCCACCCCTGACAGAGATACGCACACCACTGCTACTCAGGTTTTCTCTTCCCACTGGGGCTGGTCAAGGAACCCAGGGCTTCTTAAATGCTAGGCAAGCACTCTGCCACCGAGTGCAAGCTCAGCCTTTCTCTAAGGTACTATGACTGGCCTTCATCCTCCTCTCTCAGCCTCCAGAATAGCGAAGATTAAAGGGGCCAGCCACTGTGCTTGGGTTGGGGGTTAGGTACCCAGTTTTTAAAAGAATCACACTCTGGGGAGACTAAATGATTTGCTCAAGGTGACAGGACTAGTGAGTGTGGGCTACAATTCAAATCCACGTCTGCTGCCGACAAAACCACACCTGAATCTCCTTCCAATTTCTCCATCAGCTCAACCCTACCCACCTACACAGAACGGCTACACTTCAAGACTAGCACAAAAAGCCTGGGTGTGGTGGCGCAGGCCTGTAGTCCCATCGGTCCGGGCGGTTCGGAGGCTGGGGATATGGCTCCGTGGTTAAGAGTCCCTGAGTTAAATTCCTGGTACCAGGAAAAAAAGACAACGCGAACCGAGAGGCCGTGCACCCCTGTCGCCCCGCAGGGCTCTCAGCGCTCTCTGCTCCTCCACGTTCCGTCCTCGCAGCGCCGGGAAGGCGGTGCCCTTACAAGGGCGGCTCACAGGTGAAAGGCTAATAGCGAGGAGCTGTCGACGGGGCCGAGATCTGCACCCAGCGCTGCCTCCTGGCAAAGCCGGGGTTTCGCAGCCCGCAGCTGGCGGGCTGGGAAGGCTCCTCGTTCCAGGCCTCGCTGCTTCCAGGCCTGCAGAACGCGAGGCGCGTTTCTCACTCCCCGCGCCAGAGAGGACGCAGAGGCTCCGAGGCCGGGCCTTCTCCCGGGCCCTCGACGCTCCCTGGGAGCCACCTCTGGTCGCCCGCCGGCTCCACCCCGCGCCGCTCGCAGGCCCCGCTCACCTTCTTGAGCTTCCGCTGCTGCACGATGCGCGCCTTCTTGGGGGCGATAACGCGACCTGGGAAAGACGCGGTGGCATGAGGCCGGGGCGCCCTAAGCCCAGCTCTCCCCGCCCTTCCCGGCCCCAGTTCTCACCTCCTTTCCGCGGCCCGCGGTTCCGCTCCGAGGCCGCCGCTGCAGTTTTACTCTTCGCCGGCTTCTGCGCCTGAAACTTGCGCTGCCCCTGCGCCATGATCGGGCACCGCCGGAAGGGGCGAGGCCTCGGCCAGTCGTAACCGGAAGGAGCGCGGCACCTGGGATACAGCGGGGCCAGAGCGCGCAAGGGCTCACGGGATATAGCGTGGCTCCCCAGGCGCTGTCAATCATACCACTGGCGAGCAGTTCCCAGTGTGTAAGGTCAACATCACGGGCGCGTGTGTGCTTCCTAAAAGGCGTATCATTTTATGCTCTTTATACACAGAAGCCCGGATTAGGGTGAAGCCAGGCCTGGGAAATGTAAAGAGTGACAAATACTTCAGTAATCATTTTTTTTTCTTCGCAGTGCTGGGGATAGAACCCAGGGATTCTAGCAGGCTAAGCACAAGCTCTGAGTCACACCCCAGTCCCCCACGAACACTTTCAATGTTTTAAACCATCTTAAACCAGGCGCATGGTACCAGCCAGTAATCCCACCCACTTGGAAGCCTGAGGTAAGAAAATCGCAAATTCGAGAAGGTCCATCTGGGCAATTTAGGGAGAGCTTGACTGAAAGGGAAAAAAAAAAAAAAAGGCTGGTTGGATTCTGCTCAACCCCCAGTAAGGTCGGGGCTGGGGATGTGGTTATGCTAGAACACTTGCCTGCTGTGTGTGAGGGTTCAATCCCAGCACCCTGTTCCCCAAAAAACCAAAACCAAATACAGTTCACCACATTCAACTATACCGTGTAGAATGGCTGCCTGATTTTGTAAATCAAGTTTTATTGGAACCATAGCTGGTATCAGGCATGAGGAGAGTAAACTCAAATGGCAAATATAAGGTTTAATTCTTTAAAATCTTGGAACCATGGAATTATTTTTACATTCTTTTTGTTGTTGTTGTTATTGGGCATTGAACCCAGGGCACTCAACCACTGGGCAACATCTCTAGCCCTTTTTCATATTTTATTTAGATACAGGGTCTGGCTGAGTTGCTTAGTGCCTCACTAAATTGCTGAGGCTGGCTTTCAACTCTCGATCCTCCTGCCTCAGCCTCCCCAGATGCTGGGCTTATGGTGTGTGGCCCTGTGCCCAGCTGCCTAATTCTTTTAAAAGAAAAAAATACTGCATTAGGCGGAGCGTGGTGGTACACGCCTGTAGTCCCAGTGGCTTGGGGGACTACGAGGATCACGAGTTCATAGCCAGCCTCAGCCACTTGAGTGAGGTACTAAGCAACTCAGTGCGACCCTGTCTCTTAAAAAAAAAAAAAAAAAAAAAAAGGGCTGGGGATGTGGCTCAGAGTTCAATCCCTGGTACCTATCCCCTCCCCCCCAAAAAAAATAAAAATAAAAAAATTGTATTAAAATATTATTTCTCTTGATTACTAAGGTTTTGGGGAGTCGTTTTAAAATTTGCACTTGAGGTGTTACCCTGCTTACTAAAGGGAGGTACTAGTATCAGCCCCGTCTTATAATTGAGGAAAGGCACAGAGAGGTGAAGCGACTTGCCCAAGATAACACAATGGAGAAAGAGATAGAGCTGGGATTTGAAATTGGGCAGCTTAGTTGCAGCTGCTGGGTTCTTTTTTAAAATATCTTCTAGTTGTCAATGGACCGTTATTTTATTTATTTTTATGCGGTGCTGAGAATCGAACCCAGTGCCTCGCATATGCTAGGCAGGCACTCTCCCACTGAGCCACCACCCCAGCCTGCTGCTGGGTTCTGAAGAGCCATGCAAGGCCCTGTCGCTGTCCCTGCTCTAGAGAGAACTGGGGGAAGGTCAGTTTTGGGTAGGCCACTGGATCAGTTTATTATAAAACCTGAGACACATGGGCAAGGTAGACAGGCTGAGGTGGTTACATCCAGTCCGTCTGGGGTCCCTCCGCTAGGAGACGGTGGTGCTCAGGGCGGTCCGGAGCTCGGCCGGGGCGAAGACACCCAGCTCGGTGACGATGCCGCCGGTGATGAGGTCATGGGGGGTAACGTCAAAGGCAGGGTTCCAAACCTCAATTCCTGCAGGGAGAGAGGGAGGTGTGAAGGCAAGGATGTGGCGCTGTGGACGTCCCCAGGCTCTTGTCCCTGTGTCCATCACGGTGATTCTTGAGAATCTGAGAGTCCTCGCCCCTGAAGCGCAGGAAGGCTGGGGCAGTGCACCCATGACAAGATCAGACCCCTCCATTCTCGGACCGTCCAGCCTGGGGAGGCAGCTTCACGGCCTCACATGCCTTGGCCACCTCTGCCCACGGCGGGGCTTCATCAGGAACCTCAGACCCCGCAGGGTGCAGCACAGTCCATCAAGCCAGGGTGGGAAAGAACCTCAGGACCGAGCCCTGTTCTGAAGGGCACCCCCTTTCTCCACTGAAAAGTCTTAACTGGGCCTCTCCAGAAATCTTCACCATGGCTGATTTTAGGACTGTCAGCAAGAGTCTCTGTGAAAGAGTCCAGTGTAGATAGACTTCCTATTTTCATGTCGCCCTGTTTACTTGGCCACTGGCTGAGAAGACACCAGCACTCCAGGTGCTGGACACCCCCTTACTAGTTTTTCACAAACGTATCCAGTATAGTACTTTGTAGAACTGTGCAAACAAGGCCTCTGGCCTTGAGCTGGGCTTCACACAGATGTCTACATTTTTTTTTTTAATATTTATTTATTAGTTTTTCGGTGGACACAACATCTTTGTTTGTATGTGGTGCTGAGGATCGAACCTGGGCCGCACGCATGCCAGGCAAGCACGCTACCACTTGAGCCACATCCCCAGCCCCGAGATGTCTACATTTTTAAGATAAGTTACAAATGGGCTCCATGGTAACAGCTGGCAGGGGGAGGGAAGAAAGGGGAAAAGAGGCTCTCCCCTTCTCAGGTGTGGTCCTTGAAGAGTTAACTTGCCCAGAACAGTGAAAGAAAAAGCTGCTTTTCTGTGAACTTCTGAGCCCCTCCCCTTACACGCTGGGAATAAAACTCTGAAACTGCCTGAGCTCGGGGTTCAGGAGATTGATTGATAACAGCAAAAGCTGTGCCCCGTGAACCTGGCTGCAGCCAAATACAACTGTTTCCTGCCGTCTTCGGTGCCTTGCCTCGTTTGTCCTCCTTCAGGTCTTTTTTTTCCTTTCTTTCCTTTTCTCTAGCACTTGGGCTGGAACCTAAGTGCTCTACCACTCAGCTACTCCCAGGCCAATGGAAAAACAAACAAACAAACAACAACAACAACAAAAACTGGGGCTTGGGTGTAGGTGGAGCACCTGCCTGGCATGCACAAGGCCTGGGTTCCATCCCGGCACCAAAAAGAAAAAGAAAAAATCATTTTCTATTTGTAATCATCACTGTGACTGCTGATATTTCTTGAGCTAATATTTAAAGGGACCGGCATGCTTCTAAAGGTCAAGTGGATTCATTTACTGAAGGTCCCTGAGTTTACGAAGAGGTTCTTTTCTCTTTTCTTCTCTTCTCTACTGGGACTGAACTCCAGGGCACTCGACCACTGAGCCACACCCCAGACCTATTTTGTATGTTATTTAGAGACAGGGTCTCACTGAGTTGCTTAGCATCTCCTCATTGCTGAATCTGGCTTTGAACTAGAGATTCTCCTGCCTCAGCCTCCTGAGCCACTGGGGTGACAGGCATGCTCCATCGAGCCTGGCTTCTATGAAGAGGTTTTAATGGTAGCTTATCTTTTTTTTTTTTTTTTCCCTTTGCAGCTCTGGGATGGAACCCAGGGCCTCCCACATGCTGGGCTGGGGCCCTACCACAGCCACACTTCAGCCTGGCTCAGTTTCCTCCGAGACAGCTGGCTGGGCTATTCTTGTTTCTCGCTCAGGTGAGGAGGTCACTCGGAGGATACAGGACACCACGTTACTCACTGCAAATTCTCACCTGAACTCAGAGTGCCCTGCTATAAGGAATGGCTTGACAGAGCTGCCTGTGCCCCCTCCAGCAGGCTGCCCATGCCCTACATGCCACCCACCCCCAGAAGTGCTCAGGTGCCAGAGTCTCCTGTCTGAGCCCCCAGCTTACCGGGTGCTGCGATCCTGACCCCGTTGACGTCGGTCAGCTCCTGGCCGGGCCGCTCCTCGATGACAATCTCCTGGCCCGTCTGCAGGCGGAGGTCGCATGAGGAGCTGGGGGCGGCCACGTAGAAGGGGATGCCGTGGTGCTTGGCGGCAATGGCCAGCTGGTAGGTGCCCACTTTGTTGGCTGTGTCACCGTTAGCGACCACGCGGTCGGCTCCCACGACAACGGCTGGGAGTGAGAGGCTGGGGGTCACATGACCTGGTCCTGGCTGCCCGGAGCCCTGCCCACCTGCCCGCACGTAGCCCGCTGACCTGATACTCCCCGGTGCGCCATGGCGGCGGCCGCCATGCTGTCGGTGATGAGGGTGGCGGGGATGTGCTCATAAACCAGCTCAAAGGCCGTCAGCCGGGCTCCCTGGTTGTAGGGCCGCGTCTCTGTGCAGAAGGTGCGCTCCAGGCGGCCCAGGTTGTGCAGGGAGCGAATCACACCTGTGGGGGCAGCAGAAGGATAGGGTTGCCCAGTGGTGAGGGACACAGGCGCCTAGGCTGGGAGGGGATACCCAAAACCTCACCAAGTGCAGTCCTGTCCCTGCTAACACCTATTTGTCCTTCCCGCTGTCGGTCCCTCCCACTTCCCTGGGGCCTCACTAGGGCAGAGACCTTGATTGCTTTATTCCCTGGGGACTCCAATGCCCAGCACACAGCAGGTGCTTAATGCATGCTGGTTGCAGCAGGGCACTGGAGTGCCATGGTGGTACACGCCCACAGTGCCAGCTGCTTGGGAGGCTGAGGAAGGAGACTGCAAGTTCAGGACAAGCCTGGGCACTTAGCAGACCCTGCCTCAAAATAACAAGGGCCGGGGACGTGGCGCCACGGGAGGGTGCGTATCTGGCATGTCTGAGGTCCAGTGCCACCGGAAACGGAAACAGCTGGTTGAGTGGCTGAGTCAAAGGCAGGAGTCCTTCATGAGACCCGAGCTCCAGGACTAAGGGAGGGGCCCAAACAGCAAGGAAGCTTCCCGGATCCTGAGTGTCAAGGGGACCTGCTGCCTTGTCATTGCCCACCCCTCCTGGTCACAGCCACCCCGATCTCATCTGCGGGGAGGCTGTTCCCTTCTCCTGTCCTTTTGGAGTCCACATCTACACTCTTCAGGCATAAGCCTCAGTCCAGGGCCATTAAGTGATCGGGCCTGGAAGAGCAGGTGACCTATCAGGAATCTTGAGATACAAGGAAAATTCTGATACTCTTGGCTCTTTTTCTTGTGATCTGAGCCCTGGGAGTCCCCCGTGCCAACCCCCAGAGCATGAAGATAAATGAGAGCAAAGCTAAGGACAGGACAGGTGGATCCTTATGTCACTGGTTGAGCCCTGGATCTAGCTATACCTGATGCCAACCACCTACCTTCACTGTTTTTGGTGGATAAAGTGGTTTGAGTTTCTTTTTCATCCAAGAAAAGAAAAGAAAAGAAAAAAGCCCTCTCCTGTCCCTGAAGACACCACTCACCTAGGGCCGTGCCGTAGCCAGCAGTGGCCAGTGCACCAGTGTTGCAGTGGGTCAGCACGGTCACCTTGCCCCCGGCAGGGGCTGCCCGCTCCAGGATGTGGTGGGCTCCCAGGTCCCCGATGCTCTGGTTGTCTCTGAGGTCTTTCTCCAGCATGTCCTCAGCGCAGCGGATGACTCTGGGCGGACAAGGAGGGTTAGCGCCAGCTGCCAGGTCCAGGCTGGTCCCGCCTCTGCCCAGGGCTGTTGTGTGGGGCCTACTGCTCAGGCCTCTTGCTCTTGTGAGGCTGGACGTTCTGCCACCGGCACAAACCCGTTATACTCACAATGTGTGCTCACTATTTCTGGTGTGCCAATGCTAGGGAGGGGGCAAAGGAGTAAACAAGATGAAAATCTGTCCCTGTGGAGCTGACACTGGGGTTGGGGGGCAGGTGATGAGCAGATAAAATGAAGGAGGAGGCAGCAGAATCCCCAACAGAGAGCAGGGGGCCAGCTGTATTATGAAGAGGGGTCGGGGAAGGCAGAGACCTGAAACCCCAAGCTCCGGGATTACGTGGCTTGTAGCAAGTGCATGTGCCAAGGCCCTGAGGCAGGAGTGAGCCTGGCATAGTCAAGGAACACTGAGGAGGAAGGTGTGGCTGGAGCCACCGGGAAGAAAGAAAGGAAGAGGGCAGGTAAGGGATGAAGACAGGAAACAAAGTTCCTCAAAAGCAAAAATCAAGGGAACCAGGGGAGCACATGGGCACAGGTGAGCTGGGCGTGCCGAGGGGTGGGGTTTGCATAGTTGAGGTCCAGGGCTCTGGGGCCCAGATCCGTGGCGTCACCTGTGGGACCCGGGACAAGGGACTAAGAATGCCGTGCCTCTATTTCCCCATCTGTAAAATGCATACACAAAGCCAACAGCGTCTGTTGCCGGGGTGACTGGCCCGGGGCTCCCTACCTCTCCCGGACCGCCTCCTCGGTGGCACCCTCTTGCTCCGCCTCCTGAGCTGCGGCGTCCGCCAGGTCGCGAGCAGCGCGGGCCATGTTGACAGCGGTGGGCCGGGCGGTCACGAGGAAGCTCAGCCTGTCGCGCACGAAGTCCACCAGAGGGGCAAGACCCGGCCCCCCGGCGCCCGCCTGGAGCTCCACGGCGAGGCTGAGGCAGCCCACCAGGGCGATGGCCGGGGCGCCCCGCACCTGTGGCACAGGGCGGCAGGGGCGGCAGGGGCTGCAGGGGCTGCAGAGGCGCGCGATCCCCCGCCCCCAGCCTCGCCGTCCCCGCGTGGCCCCACCTTCATGGCGCGGATGGCCTCCCAGGCCTGCGTCACCGAGCCCACCGCTTCGTAGCGGCTCTGCTGGGGCAGCAGCAGCTGGTCGAGGATCTGCAGAGAGCCCCGCGAGTAGCGTATGGCCTCCAGCGGCATGGCTCCACCGCCACCGTCACCGCCGCTGCAGCCACCGCGCACGCGGGGCGGGACCTCCCGGAAGATTGCACATGCGCGTTCCAGCCCTACCCGAGGGACTCCCGGACCCGTGGAGGCAGAAGCCACCCCAGGCCCCTCGCCAGTTACCTGGCCCCTTGGAACCGCAAAACGCAGCCTCTGTGGAGCGCCTGGCCCCTGGCCTCTGACCGCACTGCGCAGCGGCCTCTGAGGTTTCTGGGTTTCACAGACGGGAGGCCCGCAAGCCGAAGTCCCTTGGTTCCGCAGGCAGGGCTCTGGGCCTCCACCCTTTAACTGGCAAGCCCCCCTCCCCCCAGGGCCAGCATGTGGCCTCCAGCTGACAGGAGTTGGAGTGGGGGGGTCGCATCATCATCCCAGAATCCTAGGCGGCAGGGTGTAGGCCGAGGCCACTACCTGGGGACTCCAAGGAACGGCCAAGCTCTTCAATGCTGCCCTAAGCCCTGTCCACCAGTGGAACAGCGTCCACTTGATGCTTCAAGCATAGCCCTTGCTGCTCTCCCACGGCTACTGAGATTTTAACGGGACACGTTTCTCCTCCGCCCTAATCTCAGGGGAAGCAGGGCTACCCTTCTTCCCATCCCGGCCACAGGCCTGTCCCTGAGCTCATGCCCCACAGGCCCGAAGTCCTCCAGACCTCGGGGATGGCCTGGGAGCTCAGAAATAGTCTCCCAAATTAACAGGTGAATGACCACTCCAGACAGAGAATGTCACCCTTGACGCACTTCATTAAAGGCCCCCTGTCCCTGCTGGTGGGCAGAATCACAGCCTTTGGGACTGGAGATGCCCGTGTTTCTCCTTTGCTAGCAAAGTATAAAACCCGTTTCTCCTTTTTCTCAAAACGAGTCCCCACTGTTGGAATGGCATTGGAGACAGGCACCAGCGTTGGGCAACACAGTGGGAAGTGGGCGTGGCCAAGGGTGCCACTTCCCTGAAGGGGGTGGGGGAAATGCCAGTTTGGCTTGGATCTCAGTGCGGCATGGACAGGAGGCCTTAAATTTCACCGCTGTCTCCAGTGGCAAGACTGTGGATGCAAACATTAGGTGCTTAATCAGTGTTTGTCAAATGGTCTTTCTGCAGGTTGAGGGGAGGTGGCGGGCCACACGCCCTTGGAAAATGTCATTTTCTGGGCCACTTTCTGCCCCCTTTCCTTCAGAGCAACCCCTGGGGCCTTCCTCAAGACCCTTCCGTGTGCCTCTGTGCCGGGGGATGGTGACCAACAGCCCCTCCCGCACCTGCTCTGGATCCCAGGTGCCCTAGGCCCCATCTGTGGCCATCTTGTCCGTTCCTCTGCTTGGACCCCTCTCCACCCTCCACCCTCAGCTGGTGCTGCCTTTTCCAGGAAGGTGCCTGACCCCAGCCCATCTATGCCACCACCTGGAAACCCTCACCCCGCGGGGAGCCAGATGGACAGAGCAGGACGGACAGCCCCTGGGCCTGTCCAGCGACCCAAGGCCGGGCAGAGAACAGGGCTTTAATGTGGAGATGCGGGTCCCACAAGGCACGAGGCCCTCACCAGGACCAAATAAATAGCAATCCATTGCTGAGGAGGGCAAGGGGGGAGGGGCGGCGAGGGGGCCTCCGGGGCGTGGGCCCGGGCCTCGGATGCTCTAATGGCTGCGGAGGAGTCCAGTCCGCGTCATTCACTCTCGGAGTCAGAGTAGTCGGCCACCAGAGAGGAGCTCAGGCTGCCGGGCTGCGGTGTGCCTGGAGGGTCCGGTGCCTCCTGGGAGGAGCCTGATGGGGGCCGGGACTTGTCCTGACAGATCCCCTCCTGCCCCCACTGTCCGCAGGTCTTGGGGTTCGCTGTCTCCTCAGAGCCGTCCTGGGAGGACGCGGGTCTGTCCTGGGTGGTCCCCTGAGGTGCCTGCGGCTCCCTGGACTTGGCCTTCTCGGCCGTGGGCTGAGGGCTCCCGGGGACGTCTCGAGGCCGCCGCACGATGCCCAGGTCCTCCACGGTGATGGGGCAGCTGCTGGGTGCGCTCCTGCGGCCCTGGGCCAGCTTCTTCAGGACGCTGCTGGCCTTGCTGCTGGCGCTGCCGGGGCCCGGGGCGGAGGGGAACCAGGAGCGGCTGATGATCTCCGTGCGCTTGAGTTTCTGCTTGTCCTCGTAGGCTGCGGGGAGGGGATTGAAGAAGGGACAGGTGTGGCTCAGGGTAGGGCGCGGAGGCGCAGACGCCAGCGAGGCCTGGCACCAAAAATTAAATAGCTCCTCGCAGCCCGCCACACCTTTCACGGCCAGGCACCCCCATCTCTGCGCCCCTCCTATGGCTGCCCCACCCCCGGGAGCCCCCAACTCACAGTCCAGGGTGTGGAACCTGAGCAGGGAGGCCAGCCTGCGGTCGTCCTCCGACTCGGGCACCAGGGGGATGGCCAGGCTGGCCTTGGCCTGCAGGGCCTGGTCCCTCTCCTCCTCCTCCTGGATGGCTTTTTTCTTTTCCTGTGAGGGAGCAGGGGGGGGGGTCAAGGTCACAGCCCCTCCTCTCCCTGACCCGCCTCCAGCTCCTGGGTTTCAGGCTCCCCCTTGGTGTGAGGGAAGGGCCTTGCAGCAACCTGGATACAGGAGTCACTCTCCACGTGGGAGATGCCACTGTCACCGACACACAAACCAGGGCCCCTCTACTGTCCATCTAGACAAGATGGCCATGCTGCCCAGGGACGGCTGTGGCCCTGTAAGATGGATGGGGCTGGAAACACCTGCTGCCTGGTGTCGCAGCCGCTGTGGCTTTCTCTGGCCATGCCCCTCCTGTGCTGGTGGTGACGCTGGTGTGAGTGCAGCTGGAGAGAAGCACAGGGCGTGGCTACGTGCAGCACACAGTGCTGATGAGTGACTAGTGACCGTCACTGACTTGCGTATTTACTACACTGTGCTTTCTCTTTCTCTTTTGCAATGGGGTCTCGGGGTTGCCCAAGCTGGTCTTGCATCCCTGGCTCAAGTGATCCTCCTGCCTCAGCCTCCTGAGCAGCAGTTTGTTATTTTAGAGAGTACAATTTTCATTGGTGGTGTTGTTTAGTACTGGGATTGGACCCAGGGGTTCTCTACCACTGAGCCACATCCCGACCCTTTTAAAAAAATTTATTTTATTTGGAGACAGGGCCTCGCTGAGTTGCTTAGGCCTCACTAAGTGGCTGAGGATGGATATTAACTCAGATCCTGCCTCGGCTTCTTGAGCCGCTCAGATTACAGGCATGTGCCTGGCCCAGCCCTTTTTATTTTGAGACAGGACTCACTAAGTTGTCCAGGCTGGCCTTGGACTTGGGATCCTCCTGCCTCAGGCTGCAGAGTGGCTGGGATTACAGGTGTGCACACTGCGCTGCACTTGGAGTGAATCGGTTCTATTTACTATTATGAGTTCACTCTGATGCAGCCTCAGCACCTGGTGCATCACGGACTGGGTTGGCTACACCTCCTGCGGCAAGAGGCCCCGTGTGTGGCTCATCTAGCCATCAACTCTGGGTTAGTAAAGGCCTGATGTGCGCACAACAGAGAATCCCTTAGCACTGCTCAGAATGCGTTCCTGTCGTGGGGCGAGGTGCAACTGTGTGCTCAGGATGCCACCTTGGCAGGGCCTCGTTAGGTTCTGGGAACCCAACAACAGGTAGACAAGAACCCTCGCTGAGCCAGGTGTGGTGGCCTGGCACACGCCTATAATCCCAGCTGTGCTGGTTCAGGAGGCTGAAGCAGAAGGATCACAAGTTCAAAGCCAGCCTCAGCCAAAGCGAGGCCCCAAGCAACTCAGTGAGACCCCATCTCTAAATAAAATTCAAAATAGGGCTGGGGAGGTGGCTCAGTGGCCGAGTGCCCCTGAGTTCAATCCCTGGTACCAAGAAACAAAACAGAAGCCCTTGCTGACATTGCAGTGGGTCAGCTGGGCAAAGCGGTAGGAGAGATAAGGACATGGGGTCGCGGGGAGGCAGAGGCAGGGAGGTCCGTGGGGAATGCGTGGAGGGCCAGGGGATGTCTCCCCGGGAAGTCACCTCTGGGAAGACCTCTGTGTGCAGGAACGCTGTGGGTTCTTCTAAGAGCAGAAGGAGCAGCTCATGCAGAGCCTACAGCAGGGGAGTGCTCCGAATGACCAGGAGGGGCGAGGAGGCTGCGTGGCCCAGGGACACCAATGAGGGGCAGAGGGGGAGGCCCCCAGGGGGAGGCGTGGATCCGAGGGCCTTCACAGCATCAAGTGGGGTTGCTGGGGAACTGATTAGTTATCGGGGAGGTGATGGATCAATGCCCAGGAAATTGGGCCTGAGGAACCTGTTTGTCCCCTGTCATGCGAGGACACAGCCAGAAGGCGCTATCTGTGAGGAATGGCCCTCCCTGGACACTCGTCCACCCGGGCCTTGGTCCTGGGCTTGCCAGCCTCAGGACTGTGAGCAGTCAAGGCCTGCTGTGGCCATGTCGCCGCCTGTGTTTCTGTTCCAGCAGGACGGGAGTGACCCACGGGTCAGAGGAGGACACTGAGGCTCTGGGGTGAAATGACCTGGGGTGTGGTGGGGTGCTGTGGTGGGGTGCTGGCTGATCCCGGCTCACAACCCACGCTCTCTGGCTCCACGCCTGCCCTGACGTCCCCGGAGCCCCACCCTGTGCTCCTGACAGGGGCGCTCACCCGGAACCTCCGCCGCAGCATGCTGTTGAGGGCGAAGTCGTCCTTCCACGCGCTCTGGGCCTCCTGGATGTGGCTCAGCGTGGGCAGGGCCTTCTTGAGCGCGCTGCGGTCCGCCTCTCCGTGCTCCAGGCGGAACATGGCATCCGCCTCCAGCCTCTGCTTCTTCTCGTGCTCTGCAGGGACCACGACAGTGCAGCTTGGGCCCCGCTCAGGGCCAGGGCCAGGCAGCCGGGCATGCGCCGGGCAGGTGGCGCTCACCTGTGGTCAGCACCTGCTCGTTGTCCGCCATGTCCCAGCGTTCCTCCTTGCGCTGGGCGCCGCTCACGATCACATAGTCACAGTTGGCGGGGTCTGTCTGCATCTCGATGTAGTTGACGCACAGGTGGCATTTCATCCGAAACCTGGGTGAAGGCATGGGCAGGAGTCGGG